ATAAAGTAAATAATGTGTTGCCTAATGGAGCCTATCATTTGGAAGATTTAGATGACACCAAGCACATGAGGTTCATTAATGGCAAATATTTAAAAAAATATATTCCTTCCTTATGGGAAAGTGAACAAATAAAAGTGTAATCAAATCGCGTTGAACGATTGCAGATAAAAAAGGGCCAGAACGAAATACGTTCAAATAAATTCCTTTATTACAAAATACTAAATGCTCTATAAGCTACAATTAAGAGCGAACTAATCTTCCGGTCGATCGTCGAGTAAGAGGGTGAACTGGCATTGATTGCTATCCTGATTGCACTACCGCAAAGACAAGTAGAGAGGCCGAGAAGCACTCCCAGCGAGTAGAAAGGAAGAAGAAGCACCCTCACATTGCCTTCCTAAATGCATCGCTGCAATAATGGGCAAGGAGGCTGAGAAGCACTCTCAGCAATCAAGGTGGCTTGCAGGCATCCTCAAAAATTGTCTTCCATCATCGAACTCCTTGTAAGGAACATGGAGACGATGGGAAGAACTTCGTTGGCCAAAGAATATTTCCTATATCTCCCATACCAAAAGTGACATAAAAAAAGTTGGCAAAATGGGTGGATCAAATGATCCATTTCCATGGAAGACGAAGGTTTTGGATCGATTGTCAAAATGTCAAACAATGACAGCAAATTGGTTTTGAAGAAGAGAATGGAAATGAAAATGACAAGTGTGAAATATAAGTACATTTATAGGGGCGTGAAGGTGAAGAGACAGAATATGAACATCCACATTTATGCCTAGTAACTGGAATCAAATGGTCCGAAATCTTAGGAAAAGAGACAGAAATACCAAGAAAAAATGTGCGTGAATCTTAGCATAAAGCAGTTAAATGCTTGGGGGTTGACGATTAAAGACAACGTCAATAAATGCACAAGAAGAATTAATCGTTCATTAATGATAATGGCTGTTGGTACGTTCAGAGTTACCAATGGACATCAGTACGAGATTACAAGGGGAAAGTTAATACGAAGTTACAAAAAGAAAAGTTAAGGCATTATATGTCTTAATTACAATTCGCCCCAGACCGAATGAATTCTTTCCCTAAGTCTCCCCCAATCCTCGCTCTGCCGAGAAGAAGTAATATCCAATTCAGCTACAAAATCATTATCAACTTCCAGCTTCTTGTACTACTCAACCAAAGGCTTGGTTCACTCAATTCCTTGGGAGGCATTACGCTTTTTAGCAGCTATTCTCGCCTTGCAATCGTCCATCTTTGCTTGAAGCTCCTTCATCTGTGCAGCCAAACTGGTCATCAAAGAGTTTTCAATCATAACTTCGGAAGAGATTTCTTTGAATTCGTCCTCAGCTTTGTTGATCTCCAGAAGCAAAGACTCTCTTTCAGATACAGCGCGAAGATATTGAGTACTCTTGGCCTTCAGTTCAACATTTTTGGCCAGCAAGGAGAGAATCTCGGAATGGACAACTTTCAACGTCGCTTTAAAATCAGCAGAAAGATTGAGCGACAGAAGTGTCAGTGCTTGCACCAACTTCGCACTCAAATGCTCAAGCTTATCCTTATGTTTGGCAGCACTAGCCTGATCGATGTCCATATCCATAAAGGACACATAATCAAATATCGACTGCTCGAGGAACTTCATATCTTCATCTGAAGAAGTAGAAGGACGACCGGTTGAAGCAGGGCGAGACGTCTTGACCTTTCCCCAGGAAGTGAACAAGTCCTGGATGGAACGCACAATCTTATCAGCATCCTGCAAAGAAAATTGTCAACATTGAAGGTTTTCACTACAATGAACAAAGTGGAAGTAAGAGTGAAGCAAAGATTACCTCTTCAGCAATCTTGGGAGGTGGCATATCCCCAGCCAAATCTATCACCTGTGGCTCCACCACTTGTGAGGACTTCCCCTTGTCTGAGCGAGAAGACTTTGCCACAACGGGCAAACCCATGGGAGTATTTGCAGAACTTAAAAAGTAACAAATCAAAAACCAATAGCACAAACAAAGGTAAAACATTAAAAAATGTATTACCTTCTGGTTCAACGTTTGGGGGGTTGACGCCCTGGGAAGAAGGTGGCTCATCCATTGGTTGTGATGAGGATTTCGGGACTGAAGGTTTCTCTTTAAGCGTAGTCCCTTTATCAACTGGTTTGGATGAAGCAGCCTCAGTAGGGGATGATGGAGCAGGAGCTGCCAACACCAAAGCCTTCAAAGGAGAGGCTGAACTTTTCTGAGAAATCCAAATAAACCATCAGCACATAGAAAAGTTTCAAGTATAGAAAAGTATGCTTGTGAGTAAACTAATTTAATTACCTTTCTCCTAAAAATGAGAGGAGTGTCATCATCATCATCATCATCCTCCAAAATGGGAGATGCTGAGGTTGACCGTTTGCGACTTGGGGCACTCTTAGCTGCAGTGGGCTTGGCAGGAAGAGAAGTAGATGGACGAACAGACTGTTTAGCACGAGTAGGGGAGGAAGGACTCTTAATGGACACAGGGGTGACCAAAACAGGAGAAGTGAAAGAAATGTTTGGCTGATCCAGTGAATGGAAAGCACGATTGGCATCAGTTGCAAACAATCTACGCTTCACTGATGGCCAGAGTTGTTCAAAAAGAGGATGGATGGCATGGCTAGGATTGAAAGGTGCTAATGAAAAGTTACTCGTCAAAAGAATATTGCGAGCATCTATAGCTTCTGCTTCTACCTTATTAATGGTGTGGAAGCGATCTATCAAATTTCTTGAATAACAAGGGGGAACAGGCCAAGTTTATCCAAAACCAAGTTGAAGAGCAAAAAAGTGGGGAGCATATATTTCAACCCCAGCTTTGACATTAGTTCCAATTAAAATATCATGGAACAACTCCCTCCCGGTAAAAAACTGAACCCAAACAAGCAGAGAGGTGCTCGCACTGTCCAGGGTGGATGGGGGTTGCACATAATCTGGAATTAAAAAGGAAGGAGAAGGAAAGAAAGAAGGAATTGGATTCAAAGTATAAAAGAATGAAAAGATGTCTCTTCTGGACGTATTTACATGGCTCAGTGGGTCAATAGCTAGCCCATAGCAGCTAGCAGAATAAAAGGACAAGGATAGAGCACCAAGTGATGGAAAATAGGCTTTCAACCACATTTGAGTGAACCAAAGAGGCCCACTGCCAGTGGGAGATGCACCATTCTTCAATTGAAATTGGAGAGAAGCCATACCTTTATAGAGGGCAGCCAAAAAGAAAGAACACAAATTCAGAGGCCTACCACGCGCCAATTCGTGCGCTATGGGTAAATAGCTCATAGAAGGCTTCATACTTGGCACACACAGAATATATTTACAAAGCCAAATCTAAAGAAAGGCCACACGCTCAGCATGGGAAGGCTCAACGCTCGAGTGATTATAACAGCTTTACAGGCTTGAATAAGACTCGGTGAGTTTTCTGTCAAATTTTGGGGTGACACCATAAATCAAAATACCAGGGAAAATGGTATCGTCCAAAGGTGTCAGATTTACTAGGGCCCCAACATCCTTTAAAGTAATGGACATGGGACCAAGAGGGAAAATAAAAGTATTATACTCAGAGGACCAAAAACTTAAAGTAATAGGGAAAAACGCTGGATCAAAAATAGGGGATTGAAGAGAGATTTCTAACAAATCAGAAATCCTAACACTATTAAAAATTGCCTTGGTAGGACCATGGCCCACAAGGCGAGCATGTCATCTATGAAAAATAACATCAGATTTAGGCCAAGTACGAATACCTCTTTCGCAAAGCGACCTCAGCAGCAAAGAGTTCAGAAACGGAGGGCCTTAAGTACAAGGGAACAGCTGGCCTACCGCCAGTTTTTCGACGGCCTCGGCGTTGTTGAATGAAGAACCTAGATAGAACTCATTGAGTTCGGCATTGGCTGGTGCAAGGAAGTTCGGAGTTATATATGGCCGAGTGAGGATTTTCTGGAAGTCTTCGAAACTAAAAGAGTCACCAAATTGGGTTTGTGAAGCAGCCATTGGGAACGAAATAAAGTTTTGTTGAAGTTTGCTTGAGAAACGTAGTAGAGAAGCAAGAAGATGAATAGTAATATTGCGAGAGAGAAGCGCGAAACAATGAGGCGTGATTTAGTGGTGTGATGAAATGACGTGTATTTGGGGGTTATAAGGGTTTGCAACGTCGCGCCTTTTTAGGCTACGGAAGGAAATAATGATTGAAATTCTTGAAAATTTCAAATGTTGCTGGGAAATACAAAGTGAATATGGCCAAAAATTAATAATTGGTATTAATTGTGCCATATTGGGGGATAATTGTTGACACGCTAAAAGTGCAGCCCAAATCGAATAGCCCAAAGAATGAAGCCCAACTGGGCAATTCAGGATAAAGGCCCAAATATGGTTATTAATGAATGCAGTGGAAGCCCACGAATGTGATAACACCATCGCCCAAAATTGCAAGACGCCCAAGATCTGAGCGAATGAAGTGTCTTGCAGTCTGCCAGAGTTATGACCCTGTTTACGCCCAAACTTTCGAATCGCCCAGGATCTTAGCAAACATAAGATGTTATGGTTATCCAAAAGTGCAGTTATCGAAACAGTTATTGAGTAATCTTATCACGTTCCACGATTCAAGGAGTTCGGTTGAAGACGGTTGAACGACAAAGAAGTAGTGGCAGTAGTTAGAGACGGCAGTTTCACGATAAGTTGGCCACCATGAAGAAAGTGGGCAGTTATAAAGCAATTAAGCAGTTTCTAAGCGGTTGATCACAAAGAGATCATCAAGGGAATATAAAAGAAAGAAAAGACATAGAGCAAAGACCCCGAATCAAATATTCTCAAATAGAGAATATGTAATTTCAATTTCTTAGTTTAGACTTAAACATTTTTTTCAGTACTCGTGTGCTTGCGCTCTTTGGAGGCATTCTGTTTAGTTCCAATTTTAAAGTCATCGCCAATAAAGCACCCCTTTTTGGGACTTTGTCTCAAGAGGTTTGTTCATTACACAATCGTCTGATCCCTTTTTAATTGTTAGCGACTACCCGCGCGAAGCACTTACCTACTGTTATCCTAGTCAAAATACTGAAAAGCTTTAAACATATGCTCGTCTCTTTTGAACTTATGCCTGTGCATTGTAGCAGTAATAATTTCAATGTAATTGATTGTCTTGTTGCCATCCATATCAGCCTGAAGCATACGTTGTTAAAGCCGATGAAGCACGAAGAACAAATGATTGAATAACCTTTTTCCAATAATGAAATGAAACTTACAGCTTCCATGAGTTGCTTCACTTCAGCGTCAGATTGTTTCAAGCCAAGATGGACTATTCCAGATTTCAGTTCCTCATAAGTGATTGTACGGCTCTTAACTGTGTCCATATTTGCAGACATTGCTTTAAGACCTTTAATTTCTTCCTCGGATTAATTTTTTGTGCAATCACCTGAACAAGAGGCCAAACGCAAACAAGATAAAGAGTTTAGAAGATTAACATCTCTAACTTTGTTAAGATATTGTGTATGTTACACACTAACAAAGCTATTAGTTATCTATTGGCTTGTCGGTTGCTTGTCATTGAACACAAGCCAGGGTGCTCTTTGCAACATAAAGCATACGAGAATTTTAAGTTCAGCCATAATATCCTGAACTAATTGTATAAATGCTAGAAAGAAAACTTAAATACTGTTAAATCTATACTAATTAGTTCTCAAGTATTATTTATTTGAAGGTGAAAACCAGAACTCAACTAATATATAAGGGCATATGACACGTGATATGCAACTAGTGTTACGCCTCGATTATTCGCGCCTCGATACCGAAGTGCCATCTCACCACCGAGGCCGAGATCAAATAGACCCTACGTAGCACCATTTACTCCGACCTGAAAACGACCCTCCCGAAACTTCTCCGAAGTGATATAGCAATTCCTACTACTGATCTGCCGAAGCGTCTCACCTCCGAGGTCGAGATCAAGTGGACCCCGGTTAGAAGATCCGCCGCCAATTTAAGATTTGTCCTGCACCTAAGGCTTAAATTGATTTGACGTCTCCATGAGACTATTTGACGTGACTTATCAACTTTATGTCAATTCAACTCGGGGAAAACAAACTGTCCGCCTACTCTACAAGCGCGGCTGATTGATGCCTATGAGCAGACGCTTCATACCGTCAGATGTACACACGCGTTCTACATCCAGCGGTTCATACCACCTATAAATACCCAAGGTTTGGTAAGAGGCAAAGGTAATGAAACTCTCAATACATAGCATTCCATAACAAGTTTATATATTCTCCTCCCCCTTTATTCATTGATTTGTGTAGTCACTGGGCACTGTTCCGACCACCCAAACCTGACTTGACCGTCGAAGTGTATACGGCCGTCACCACCTCCGTCGGTTCCGACCGTGTGCGCCTGACCGCTTGTTCATTTCGCAGGGAGGAATACGTGGAGTAGTTATAAGTTGGCCACGTGGAGGAGCCATTTTTGGAGGTCAACAACTAAAAAAAAAAAAGCCTCTGTACAGGATTGATTCTTTGTGACTTTTTAGAATAGTGGTGGAGAACATGGAACATGTGGATAACAATGAGTAGTCGTTTAGAGTGTGGTTGAAATTAAAACCTCGATTTTGACTAGGTAGTAGAAGTAACTTTTAAGTTACTCATAATGTTAGCCAACGCATAAGCTCCTTGTACCTTCTATACGTCCATTTGCCCTTGTAAAGTGTCTGCATATGGCCCAAAATTCTCATCTAATAATTATTCATCGGGTAATCATTTTTCTTATACGTGTTTATATGCAAAAATAAAAAGCAGTCTCAACAATGAATAAGTTTCTGCATTCACTACGATTTAAATGGTTGTCGATGACCGTCCTATACTTTTGTGTAGTTTACCATCATTGGTTATTTCTAGCAAACACTAAATAAACTTATTTTTAATAAGTAGTTCACAAATTGGCTCTTTTCATCAAAGGCAAGAGTGATGATAGAATTTATATCTTAAACCCAATCCCGAGATCCATAATGAACGAAACAGAAAACACGAACACGAACACAAACACATGCATACATAGAAATGAAGTGGTTCATTACGTCCACTGCAGATTTTTCTTTATAATGAATAAGAAGATTAGAAGGTTTTCCCTATGCATAAGTCCTATCTCATATAAAAATGACCCCCTTGGGGCCGGCCTTCCACTCTCTTATGCAGCATTTATTAGGTTAAATGGGTTGGGTGGATCATACAATAAGTCTCTCTCGACCCTCCCTTTCTAACACAAGGCTGAAAGTAGTACCGAACCATGGAAGGAATCATCGGCAATCCTCACCATGGATTTCAAAATACCTTGTTAGCCTTGACTGGGATATGGAAACCAAGCAAGGGATGCTAAACAAAACAAAAAAATAGAATGCCACTTAAGAGAATTTGAATTTCCTACCATCTAGCCAATTGAAAAACTAGGTTGATCCACAGTCGAAGGTTTAAGTAAACAATATAAGAGGCTCCACACAGTCCAACATTAAGAGGTTGAAAAATTAAAATAGATCATATGCAAAAGAAGTGCCTTATAATATGATGATTTAATGGTAAATTACCTAGTACTTCTGCTGAAGTAATTCTCTTCTTTGGATCCTCTGTCAGCATCTTTTGATTTTTGAACAACATATTTAAAAAAGGTTGAAACCCAACATTGAGGGCTCCCACCGCTCTGTCTTTGGAGCACCGTGAGGAAGGTAAATAGTGGGATGTGCCCCAACAGGCCAGGGAATAAGAACTTGTCCGTACACTGGTGTCTACAAGGAGTCCAATTCCATATCTCAAAAATCAAACCCTTTTACTGCGGTTGTCAGTAAGGTTGAGACTACCTCACTCCTGTCCTTTACACCACTGAATTATGTGTCGAAGGGCAATGTATTTGGCACTATTAGATATGGATAATGGAGGGCCACATGTGGTGACCAAAGTCAACTTCCGCTTTCAGTGCAGTGTCAAATATCCCCTTCTCAATTTCTGCAGCAAAAGAATTAGCGTTTACCAAGCGAATTATAGAAGAAGATGTTACACTAGTTAATTAGTCTTACCAGCCCAAAATGAAGGCATACCACCGAGTAGAATTTATAAAATAACACCTGCACTCCGCACATCTATTTCCTTTCATAACTTCGCTTTAATACTTCAGGAGCAACATAATACGCACTGCCAATTATATCACGGTACTCCTTCCCTGAGATTGATGAATGAAAGGAAATATATTATTATTTTTTAAAGAATACAGAAGCTAATTGTGGATAAGTAAACGTAGTAAAAATGAATATGACAATACTGAGATGCTTTGACAAACATATCGATTGAAAACTAAAAAAGCACGCATGCGAGCGCGTGATAGTTCTTAGATGTAAACTTGACATCTTTTGTACTTAACATTCTCGACATTCATTCTCTACAATGACATCAATTATTTAAATTCCTTAGCAATTATTGCTTTGACTATTTCACTTAGTGCTATGGTCTATTTTATGGTGACATTTTCACCAATTTGAGCAAAAATTATTGTTTGGACCGGACAACTTGTTTTTCTATTGATTTTTAATCGAGGTTGGAACACCATGGCGATGCTGTTAACATGATGAGAAAACATCAACTTGATAGACAAGTTGAACAACTTCAGTAATTTTCTAATAAAGTTAATGTTTAAATTAATCAAATTTACATATACTACATTGAAGATCCATTATCATACAATCAAAATGATAATTAAGCACCAATCTTAAAGCTTTCATACTGAATATTTACATAGCCTAACCAGAGTAAATAACCTATAGAAGTCCTATTATTTAAGCACCAATCAAGAGGTTATAACCATAAGTTCTCTATCTTGATGGCAAATACCTCTGCTCCAAAATTCAATATTTATATTCAATAATAGATAAACTTGAATTCTTACTTACCCTCTTCAATAAAAACAGATAGCCCAAAATCAGTATTCATAAGCACTTCCCAATATAAAAGAAAGCCTAAAAATGAATTTCTTATAAGACTTGTATATAGATTTACAGGCATAGGTGTGGCCAGTTGAATTCTCAGTGCAGACGTAAGTTACCCCAAATTGCCCCCTCCCCAATTCTTTCCCAAATGTGTATTTTGAACTCACATCCTCAAAGGGCTTTCCTATAATATTATTGAGTTCTAATCTTTGAATTGGATTTTGGGGTCTGCTGATGGAGGCGGTTTTGGTGGCTGAGGCGGTTTCTGCGGTGGTGGCTGGTGGTGGCTCAGGCTTAGGCTGAAGAGTGAACTGAGTTGATGGTTCTTGAGCATTTTAATGGATTTGTTCGTGACCTGGGCTTAATTATTCTTGATGAAAGATCAACCCATCATTTTCTCAGCAGGTCATAAATTTATAACCAAGATTGGAACTTTTCAACTGGATTATGAAATGGGTTGTAATACGACAAATCCAGGGGGGTAAAATTTTGCTTTGTTGGGGGTCAAAAATTACAGATGAGAAAATTTCTTGAAATAGATTTGCTCATCAAGTTGACAAAGCTGTCACGAGACTGATGTCTGTCGACTTGTGAGTCTGTTATAGGTGAAAGTTTCATTAACTTCATTTTACTCTCGTCCAAAAGAAAACGTGTCTCTTTTGCAATTGAAATATAAAAAATCTCCTCTTCAGTAGTACTTTTGCCTCGAGTTAAATGATTCATTAGTAATTGAACTTATTTTTTTGTCACGTTTTACTTATTGAATTTTAAAATACATTCAAGTGATCATTGAACTTTAAAATATTATGCATAAATTACTCATTCACGTTTATTAGTCACTAAATTTTTAAAATGTATTCATGTTAAATATTTCACTCATTGTATTTCATTAGTCACTGAACTTATATATTCATCATGCATTACTCGTTAAACTTTAAAACATTTCCAAGTGGTCATTGAATCCAACTTTTGAAGATTTTGAAGTATAACATACCATACAGATGACGCTATTCTTTCCTCTTGAATTATCTTGTGACAACTCTTAAAATTATATTTTATTATTCTTGATTAATATTATTGACTCTAAACCAAAATTTCACTGCATGTTTGAGATATACTTTTTTCCCTTGATTCAATCGAAATAAATAATTAATTTCTCTATCTTATTTTTACAAAGTAAATGAAAAATAAAATCTAAATTAAGATTTATTTTATTTTTGATCTAAGCCGAATCTCATAAAAAATCACTTTACTCAAAAATAATATGTTGTACAATCATCATTCAAAAGCATTTCAAAGTTCAGTAAGTAAAACATGGTGAAAATATAAATTCAATGGTTAGTGAGACATTATGGATGAGTGATAAAGTGCAATGTGGTAAAATTTATTGATCACGTGGAGGCATTTTAAAGGTCAATAAGTTAAACGTGACGAAAATATAAGTTTAATAACTAATGAAATATTTAACTCCTTTTGCCTTGGCACTTGGTAGCTTTCATTTCATTGATCTTCAGATAAAGATTTCAAAATAAGAAAGAAAGTATCTCTCAAACTATTGTTATCTTCAAAATACATTCAAATGCTCATATTTTAGGCTATTTATAAGATCATGTAAGTTAATGTGTATACATTCCATCTTCTTATTCTAAGAAGTATTAACGTCCAATGAATCCAAACATGAAGGGAGAGGGGGGGAGGGGGGGTTAGGGGGATCTCGAACCCCCAAACTATTATTATTATTAATAAAAAGGTCCTTGGCTCGTTAACTGATGACTCAATCCAAAAAATCCAACCTTCCCTTTTTTAATACATTTCTCTCTAGCTCATTGTCTTTACCCCGTTTCCATGTACAAATCTCCAAATTTTCAACGCAATCCTTAAATTTCATAATCAAAATCCTCAATTGCAAATAAAAATAATAAATAAATAAATAAATAAAAATCATTGTCTTGCATAGAAGTAGGTGTAGGTCTGGACGTGGTTTGGTTTAGGTCGATTTTAACTCCAACCCGAAATCAAAATCAAATTAGTTGGTTGTGTGAATTTCAACCAAACCAACTCACTCTGACTCTTAAATCAAATCGAATCAAGCAATGGTTCAATTAGTCGGTTTGAACTTTCAATCCAAATTAATTTTTTTTTCAATAAAAAAAAGTCTAAATTTTGGACCTACTTAAATTACAAGAACTAAAATAACTAAATAACTTTATCTTCTAAGAACTATTGACTAATAAATAAAATCAAGTTAATAAAGATGGATCAATCAAAAATTTAAGAATTTTGTTGTTTTTTTTTCTTTTATGTATTATATATCATGACCGTTTAAGTAGGGAAAAAATGCAAAGTATAACATAATGAACATGTGAAAGAAAATTTTCAATGTTATTACTTATCAACAAAATCATAGGCTTGAGGGAATCGAGATATAGTTATGAGACCAGGGCTTTTATTTATTTATTTATTTATTTTTTTTTATAAAAAAAGGTAATCGTGCAAGTGGGATAGGTTGGGTTGGTTCGGTTAACCAGTGGTTTAAGGCTTCAAACCATGACTGAATTGACCCACCATGATTTTGTTTAAAAGAAAATCAAACCAAACTAATTGTCTGCGTCAAACCGAATACCGACCCGAATCGATTCAGTTTGATTGATTTGATCGATTTTTCAATTTTTTTGCCCAAGTTTAAGTAAGTGCAAAAACTCAACTATGATACCTCTGGACACCATCGCTCAGAGAATTTTGATTGCAACAAAATTTTGCTGATAATTGTCTTAGACAAAACATGCTAATTAGTAATTATTGAAAGGACAAGAATGTTTAAGTTAAGATGCTTGTTAATAAGAATTATGTATGCGTTGAACGATACCATTTGCTAATAACAAGCGAGATATATGATAAAATGTGAAATAGCAATCACAATACTAAAGAACGCGAGAAAATTGGCAGAAAAGTAGAGAATTTATTAATAATGGAGAAATAATATAATGAATATTGTGTTTACAAATTACAATATCATAAAATTTGTGTAGTGTGTCTAACTTGTAAAAAAGAGCCAACTATATATAGAGAATATATCGAAACCATAAAAATATTCTTAAAGGTAGAAATAGTATCAAAAAATGGGTAGAATAAAAGAAACAATATTTTTTTTCAAAAACCCAACCATATTTGGGTCAAACTTTGACAAATCTCCACCTTGAACCAAATTCCATACAATGAATCAAACTTAAAAAATTCTCCATCTGAAACAAATTTCTCCGTAAGGCAAAATCTGACTCTTCAATAAGAACATTAATCAAAATCTTCAAAAATTAAAATTTCCACATCTTTCACAAAATCCAATTAGGATAAATGAATCCAAACATTGCTCAGCAGAATTACCTCTAGTTTCCAAAATTTGCTCGAATTATTGACACGAGCAACAATATCACAAAATAAATCAACAATTATCAAACAGGGCAACAACGCTCTTTGAAACAGAATCATCATCAAAAAATGTTATAATTAAACTGGGACTAAATTTATACCCTTCGAGGACTTATTAAACTGTTCTAAACACTGTTATAATTATTTTATTAGCAAATTAATATATAATATAATTAGGTATTGCTGAACAAGCATTCTAGTGGTGGAGCTTTAAAGGTTGAAGACGAACATTTTATCTAGTCAACAAGGTGGGTTCCTTTTCAGCTTTGAAAGGTCGAGATTCTCCCCAAATGTATCATTATTCTTCAAAAAGAAAAAAAAAGAAAAAAAAAAACACCAACATTATCAATATATTATCTTGATTCTTGTTACTTGTAAAAACCAGGTTTATTTTATTTTATTATCGCATAAACTTATAAATAAAGCTTTTATTTGCTAAAATTGATCAAATTTCGCTCAAAACTTGGGGAAAAAATGGTCTACCAAACAAGAGCCAACCTTCTCAAGAAGGCCTCAAGAGGACGTTAATGTTTTCTACGGTATTGGACACGAGGGTTATGATACGGACAATGCAAGCTATAGAAGAAGATTATAACACAGATTTAGTACATTGAAATAATAAGGATAAAAATATAATGGATGTTGAAGAGGTCAGTAATATTAGGTATAAATGCTATGCTTCCGCAACTTTTAATAAGTTATACTTCGAGTGGGTACTTTGAGATATTTTTTTGATTTCTAGAAACATCGTATATTATTGAACTTAAAATACAACTATTACTAGATTAAACTCCGACGTACTAATTTTTCTGCTTAGTTTTGAGAGTTAGTGTCCTATTTCGTATGAGTTCAAACCTTTCAAACTTGAGTCATGCTCTAATAGTGAAGTTGTCGTGGCAGCTAACTCTATATATCCCATTTTGGGATCTAGGGAGAGCTTTTATAGCACGGAGAAACTCCCATCGCTAAATCCACCCTTTAACCTAGTTAAAATGAGTAGTACAAACTCTTATGTATTATTTTTTTAGTTTATTTTTAATTATGTAAAAGCTCACCCTTAAATATTTTTAAGTTTTTGAAATAGCAAAAGGTTTTGACTTCATTGTTAACCAAATATTGGTTTCATATTATTCTGTGAACAAAATAAGTATAGAAATTTTCATAAAAAAGCCTTGCTACGATTAAATTATGGAATACATTTTATATAAAGTCATGGTTTCTGTGCTAATCCAAGGCAGCAAAACAATATATTTTGAAAAAAGATAATACATTTTAGCAAAGATTAAAATCTTTATATTACGTTTTCGACGAGCTATAAAAGATTTAAGTTTTATATATTTTTTTAACCAATAAACGAAAAAATTACCTCTATGACTTTCACCTTCAAAATTTCTATCGTAAATTTTTCTTTACTGATATCTTCTATTATAGTAAAGTAATAATAACATGAACAGAAAATCAGAAGCAAGTAAATGTTGATCTTATACTCTATTTTTGGATTCACGTCTCTCTATTTCGAAAAGGAAGTTCGCCTTAAACATGCAACAAGTTCGTCCATTACTGGTTAGGTGGTGATTTTTATGACCTCAATAATTCAATTTCCTTTCCTTTTTAATCAAGAATTCACATCAAATGAGCAGCTCCACGTGAATGCAACCGAAACGTCAATTTTAAAGGAAACATGGCAATAATTGAAAAGAAGAAATAACAGTTCTCTTTTTCTCTATATATAAAATAAATTAGTTTCATGATTTTAAGAAAGATTTTGTTCATGTCCATCGAATGAGCAATTCTATAATAGAGAGACTTGAATGAACTTTTTGATGCAAATTGAATTGCTTATTTTTTCATGTTTATATCATTTTCCTCCCTTAGCATGTAAGCGTGTCGTTGGTGATAAAATTGCAACTTGCTCGTGATTTATTCATGTGGGTTTTTACTTATCGTATTGTATATAAAAGAAATGAGGAAGTGTAGCTGGCAAAGCAGGCTTCGACATTCAGAAAGGGATGTTGATTCATCGAATCAGGATAATCATTATGGTCCCGAAAAGTTGGTGACCATTCTCAAGAACCAAAAAGATGAAGCCCCATGAGCTAGCAAAACGATTGTAGGCAGGGGGACCTAAGATGATAAGGAAAAAAAATATTATAAACCAAAATTTAGAGGTGAGTTGGTAAGATGCTTTAGATTGGCTAAAGTAAATCTTATTTAATTATATAGAAATGAGTCAATATTACAAAGTAAAAAAGAAAAAGCCAAAAATAACCTTATGCCATAACTGAGTTTTTCTCCAAGAGGATGTCTCTAGATTCAATTAGTGCAAGACACGGTCGAACCCTATGTTTAGCAAGGTTAGGTCAAGGGTGAACCATTTCGACAGCCAATCAAAACAATATAACTTTCTTGTGCATTGCAATTGCACTAAACGATCCATAGATATCATTTCACTATTAAAAAATTAAAAATAATTTTTTAATGGTTTGTGGGTCCTCAAATCCACTTGTTTTCTTGCAATGTAAATGAAAAATCTTGGTAAGTACGTAGTTTTCATGATTCTTGTAGCCTTTAGGAAACCCCTGGTTTTGATGGTTGAGTGCACTAAATTGATGATAAGGTTTTTTGTTTACATCATAAATGACGAGTGGAATTTGAGCCCCACGATTGTCCCACCAACACATTCTTAGCCGTCCAATATGCCCATGGAAAGACAGTGCTTTTTCTTCACATCTTCCATAATTGGTGATTCTTAATCTTAGGATTAATCATACATTAGACAAGACTTCTTACAGGTTGAGACTGGACGGGACATGACGGGACTTTAGCAAGACCTAATGAAAGTGGTAATTAGTTGCCTCTTATATTATGTTGATCAACTAGATACTTTTTTTATATATAATATGAGTCAGAAAGAATATTCGTACTTAGAAAATATTCGATTATCATTTCTCTTTACAAATGTTAGATTAATTGGTTAGATCAATGCTAGATTTGAGTCTAATCACTAAAATTTTAATTACATAAATCAAAATATCATCAACTCAACGTAAAAAGGAAAACGTAAAATATCTATCTATTATCCAAGTTTTTGGATTAGCATGTTTACTATTAAGCCAAGTGGCATAGATGTGACCTGGCTTGATGGGACCCACTATCATCACCCACGTTTCAGACAGTTAAGGTTGTAAGCAAGGCTTGTCAAGTAAATGTTGGGTTCATATCCATTAAATTGTGGTGAAATTTAAGGATGAAATTTGTCATTTAATTAAACCACCTCTTAAAACTTATATTAATGGCCACGATAAATTTTAATAATTGAAAATGATGAGTAATAATTCCTCCTCCATAATTATAATGACAGGGTCAAACATAAGATGAGGAGACGAATCATTTATTTTATTTGTAATTTGATTGTTGAGTGTTAAGTTAATAAATTTAGTTTCGTAAAACTAATATGAATATTTTCTAAATGCATCCTACATTTTGGAAGGCCCAGCTTCAAAAGTTCACCTTAGTACTCGAAAATTTCAGGTATAACTTTGTATGATACGATTGATCTATATAATTCTTAAAATAATTATTCGTCTGAGCTTATCAATATATGTAGTGATGGCAATGGGTCGAATCGGTTCAACTTTTTAACCCACGAGCTGACTCGGGCTCGTGGCGAGCTGAGCTCGTGTGTCGAGTCGAGCCCATGAGATGCTCTTGAGCTCGAGCTTTTTTTTTTGTTTCCCTTCACATTTTTGCACCTTTTTTTTTAAAAAAAAAATCATATTTTTTGATTAGCCCACGAGCCTCAAAATGGCTCGTAGGCACAAGGCCCACGAGCCGAGCAGGCTTGACTCGTGGGATTGAGCCCCCTGCTCGGCTAATGACGAGTCCGAGCCACCCACGAGCCGAGTCGACGAGCCGCTCGACCCGTTTGACATCCCTAAATACATGATGAAAATTATCAAAAACAAAATTAGATATTTTATTTTTAAAAGACACGTGTTAAATTCTTAAATGTTGAAATCATGCCATTGGATACGATTACGAAAGACTACCTCTCTCTCTCTCTCAAAGTATCAAGCACGTGTCATTAACGCGCTCACATCTCCGCCTGGTCACCATTTATCACCATCCCGTGACCTTCGATTATACAGTTTCGTGCTCTCTTCACATCCCCACGCTTTCGTCTGGTTCGTATTGCGACATTAATAAACTCCGACAAAATGAAACCTAAATTCAAATGAAATTCACAATTTAGAAGCCAAACGTTATATATACAACTGTATTCTCCCAAGTTTTAGTCCAAGTTAAATACACATACTATATTATATTTTTTATTCTTCGGGTAGCCGGGAAATCAAGATTCCGGCAGCCCAACGATTATATACCTATTTTCTTACTTGGGTAGCCGGAAAATAAGATTCCGGCAGCCTGAGTTGTATAAAGATAAAACTTGTTTATAGACAAGTCATTTTTTACAATCAATATTGGGGATTAATGGCAAAAGGTCGAAAATTTCCCACCAGTCGGAGTGAACGTTTCTTAGGAAGTTTTGGTTACAATCAAAACACGGAAATTGTCAAGGCCGAGCCGGAGCTGGGAGAAGATGAAGTTTGGTCAATGGTGGATGACACGGTGGAGGGGGATCATGGTTCCAATGGAGACTGGAGTTCACGCTCTTCTATGGAGAGTTTTGGGAGCTTCAATAGTCGTCGGAGCCAACGTGGAGATCACCTCAACCAACATCGCAGCGGCGGCGGCAATGAAGTTGGTGGCTTGTCGTTGGCTTTTGATGATTCGACCAAAGCATCATCACCTAGGATCGTCCACCAATTCCGAGGCAAGGACAACAGGGCTGAATCACCGTGTGGACGCCACGTTGCCACTTCAGCCCCAGTGAACGTCCCTGATTGGTCGAAGATTTATCGAGTTGACTCAGTTGAATATCTCCACGATTTTGACGATGGGATGGCTGACGATTCGTCAGATATGATTCCACCACACGAGTATTTGGCACGGAGCCGAAAAATGGCTGCGAACTCGGTGTTTGTGGGCGTTGGCCGGACACTCAAGGGACGAGACTTGAGCCGAGTCCGTGATGCCGTGTGGAGCCAGACCGGGTTCAATGGCTAATCATGATTAAAATAAAACGAGGGTTAATCGTAAATCAGGCATTAAAAAAGTTGCAATCATGGTTAATCATAATTAGTAGCCTAAATTAATATATAATTTCTCCCCGTTACTGAGTTGGACCTAGTGAGTTGTAATAGTATATGGGATCGATCCCCCAATTTTTCTCGTCTTATTGTTTTATGTTAGAATTTGGACAATTTTGGTTCATTTTCGATCACTATCAAGTGTCAACCCCATTAAAAATTTAAGTTCAATAGATTTAATACATATTCTAATGTGTGTAGTGCGGGAAATTCTTGGGACAATATGTCCACATCAAGTCATCAAATGGGGCACTTGAATTCTTTCATTGGATAGAAGAAGAACAAGACAACAAAAATTTCTTATTTTTAGTAATTTAAATTTAACCTAGCTTATAATTTTGTGTGTGTTGTATATAATTTGTCATCATGGTAATTGCCAACTGATCTGACGAATCCAATCCTCTCAATTATGTATTATATGGAATTTTGCCTCATGTACAGGCCCTGTGTTCATAGACTGGTATAGCGTACTCACACCCCCTTGCATTAGATTGGGGGTGGGTGATTATTAAAATAATAACAATAATAAATAAATAAATTCTCCCACTCCCATGAATTGTGAATATTCTGTACAGGCACTGTGAACATAGGGCCTATATAGCAAGTAAAACTCGTATTATATGTCATCGTATTTATAGAAAGATTTGATGAATTTAATACTACAATCTCACGAGATTATGTTGTCGTATTATTGTTATCAAAATGACTCTTGGTTCGTCTAAAGACAAACTCGGGAGTGTTAGGAATTTCATAAAAAATAATAATAATAATAATAATAAATATTATAGTAGAACCCAATAGTTTGTTCGAGAAGGGAAGATGACTGTCTAAGTGAAATTCAATTTACGAAATATTCCAAGATTGTTGGACCACAAGGTTTTATCGAATTCCTTTGCCATATGAAAAGTGGCTTTTCTCTAACTAGTAATTTGACAAATTGTTGTCTTTCGTGATGTCTTTTATGCATATTTTTATGAAAATTAATTTTAACAAGATATTTCAGTATACATGATGGACTAAAAGGATAAACGTATAATGACACCCTTATTTGATCTAATTTTCAATTTTCAAACTGAAGCGCTAGTTTCGAGTCAATGCTCTTTCTTGCTCATGCTTGCATAATTTATTGAAAATAAGACGTGATTTGTTCTGGTCGGGTTTTGAATGTAAAATAAACCACATACAAGTAAATAGAGGTGAGCCAAAATGGCTAGAATGGTTATGGACAAAATAGGGATGAACTGGAAAATCTCTTTTTCGAGGTTGCTAGCAAAAGAAGAGAATGAATAAATCCAATGGCCACAATCAAGAGGAACGATAGACGAAAGCAGTTTGTAGTGATAAGTTCAAAGGAAATTTGGATGATCTCCATCCCGTTGCAGTCAAGAAAGATAAAAAGAGGATAACTCTCCTCTTGACATGGAAATGTTTCAGGAAGAAGGGGAGCGTCTACATTAGCATAGAGGGTCAACATTTCATGTTCTAGTTTTTTATTAGACGAA